ACAAAAAAGCAAGAAAGTACTTAAACTTGTTAAATTCATAGATAGTAAATGTTTTACTTGTATATAATATAAAATTCTATAATATTTAATCTTAATAAAAAAATGCCAATTCGCATATAAAAAAAAAAAAAAAAAAAAAAAAATAGTAAGGACATTTTACAGTATATTAAAGAACAATATGCAGAAACTTACAAAGCAGAAGAGTTGGACAAGAAAGCAGCAGAAGAAATTACAGAAAACCTTCCACAAGTACAATATGAATTCAATAATGTTTTGGTCAAAAGAATTACACAAGAAATAATAGAAGTTATATGAAATCTACCAAATAACAAGTTCCCTGGAATAGATGATTTAACTTATGAGTTCTACAAACTTACAGAAGAAACAGTAGCACCAGTTTTGAAGAAGATCTTTAATAAAACTCTAAACTCTGGCATCCTTTCAGTCTCATGGTGCAAGAATCTAATCATACTAATTCTGAAAAAAATCAGAAGAGCTTGACAATATAAACAACTGGAGACTTATTTCACTAGTTAATAGTGATGCAAAAATTTTTATGAAGATCATAGCCAACAGGTTAAATTTAATCTGCAATGATATAATCCCAAGCCACCAACAAGGATTTATTACAAACAGGTCCATAACAGACATAGCTCTTGATATCTTAACAACAATGAGAAACCAAAAAGATAACTTTAAGCAACATTGGATGCTATTTGTTGATCAGCAAAAAGCATTTGACAGAGTAAATTATAAGTTTTTAAAATTAGTTCTAAACAAAATAAACTTTGATCCGAGATTTGTTAACTTAATTGAAAACTTCTTCACTAACCAGAAGGCCCATATAGTAGAAGGAAATAACTTATCTGAATCCTTTAGAGTAGAAAGAGGTGTGCAACAAGGAGATCATCTCTCTCCTCTTCTATATGTAGTAGCATTTGAACCAATGCTAAAACAATTAGAAAGAAAACTCAAAGGAATTTCACTAGAAAAAGCAGTTCTTTAAAGCCACAGCATATGCTGATGATTTAATGATTAGCATAAGATCAACCACAGACTGGAATATATTGAAACAAGTACTTAAAACATATGAGCTTGCATCTAATGCAAAAATTAACAAACATAAAACTAAACTAGTTCCACTCATTGCAAGTGCTAAACAAGTCAGATTATCAGAAGAAGAACACTTCAAAAAAGTAACAGAACATAAAACATTAACCATTTTGAAATATACAATTCAACCCAATAGCAACCTAAAAAAGACCTATAGCCAACAATGATCAAAAAGCTAAAGAGTTCCTTAGAAGGCATAGCCCAAAGAAACCTTTCACATAAAAGGAAAATATTAATAGTTAAATCACTAATAATCTCAAGAATTTGGTATATAGTATACCTTCTATCACCAAACAGAAAACAAATAACAGGTCAATCAAATAATTACACTATGGATAAAAGGAACTTCAAAAATGTTACCTAAATACTTAGTCTTTTAGCTTTCTGCAGACCAACAAGGACTAGAAGCTCTGATCATGAAAGACATGCTTGACACAAGATTACTAACAGTTTGGCTAAAACTCCTAACAGAAAACTTTTTATGGTCTAAATTCGAGAGAAGAAAGATCACAACAATAATAAAAGAAAAAAGAAATATCTCAGTTCTACAAGCATTGAAAGGATCACCAATAAAATCAGCAGCTTGGCCAACAGAATGGAAACCATATATTCTTGCCTAGAAAAGAGTAGAAGGAACAGTCAATGCTTCTACTAATTGGCCTTGGCATAAAGAAGACCTTATAGCAGGAGAAAAAAAAGAAAATGAATTCTCAGTAAAAAGTTTAGCAGAATCTTTAAAGAAAAAAACTACAAATCCTGTAAATACAAACCTAGAAAGAAGCCTTATTAACCAATAGTTAGATGTAAAGGCAATAGAAAATAGAAAAAAAGATATTGCCTAGCACCTCTTTCACAGAGCTTTTCCACTTGGTTATCAACTGTGTTATGTAAACCCAGAAGAAAGTGGTAACTGTATATGGTGCATTGATGAACTGCAAACCATTGAGCATTTTATTATAAACTGCAGAATCAGTCAAGAAATTTGGAAGCTAGCTTACTCCTTTCTTGACACTGGACAAGCCAAATGTCCCCCCAGAACACTAAAAGAAATCTTTAATGCATCAAACATAAAGAGTAAAGAAGGATTACAAAAGTTAAATAGTGAGAAGATTACCAAACCCTAACAAGTATACTAAGTACAGTTAAATGCCATTTAAACAAAAAAAATCAAAGTAGTACAGTTTAGCTTAAAAAAATTTTCATCTAAAAAGAAAGAGAATATATGTAAATATTTACATTACAGAAGATAATAATAAACATGATTAATAAAAGAGCACCACATGCACCACTGATCTGAGTATCAGGGTTATAAAAAAAAAAAAAAAACATAACTTTAAATTCAGAATAAAACTCTTTCTGGTACACTTTCAGTAACAATACAAAAATAACAAAATTTTACAAAAACTAAATAAAAACTTTTTTTAAAACTCCTCTGGTAGGGCTAAAGCCCTTATTCACAAGAAAGAAAACTTATTTCTGTCAAACATGAGCAGCTTAATACCCAAGAGACTAAAACTTTTTGACACTAGAGCTAGAAAAAAGGACTTTGACTTGTCATCAGAACAAGAAAAAACTCCTATTGTAGAAGCAGAAACAGCAAACATAACATATTTACAAAATAGTAAACCAAATAAAAGCAACAACCAAAGTGATGAAAACTAGGCCAATAATATAGAACAAAAAGAAAAACCAGTTGGTAAAGGCAAACAAAAAGCTACTTATTCTACAAGCAAAAACAACAAGGTAAAAAACAACAAGACACATGCAGTAGCAAATACAAAAAAACAAACAAACAGATACAGAACACATGCACATCACACATGACAAAATTGATACACAAGACAACATCATTAATAGCACAACATCAAATGATGTGAATGACAAACCAGCTAATAACAAACCCAAGCAATGGTCAGATTTATTCTTAAAGCTAAAAGGAGGCAAGACAACCTTCTCTAATACAGCACCCAGAAACAAGATCTATTCTAAGAATGAAAATGCTTTCATTTTTGACATTTCTAAGCTTACCAACATACCTACCAATGACATCATTTCAACCCTCTACATCAAACTGGGAGAAGATATGCTAGTAGCAAAAACTCACATTATCAGAGGCAGATGGGCTCTCTTAGAAATAGCCTTCTCAGATAAAGACAAACAATAACTGTATGCTTTAGAAGGGATTACAATGTTTAAACAAATATTTTTTGGATATGTCTAAGTTAATCTTAAGTGTATATTCCTTTCAGTTAAATTGAAAAACACACCAATGGGCAATAAAGAAGTTATCAATAAACAGATTAAGGAAGCTTTTCAGGATATCAGCACTATTACCTCTATAAAACCACTTCTATATAAAGGAACTCCAATATGCTCTGACCAATAGATTGTAACTTTTGAAATATCAAATGATCCAAACCTGATGACCAGACTACCTAGACACACATATGTCAGTAATTACAAAGTCACTACAGACTGAAAGGAGGCTCCAAAAATATGTTATTATGGTGAAAAAACAGGACATATTAAAAAAAAATGTGCAGAACTTAGAGCTTCAATGGAACTAAGACAGTTACAAAAAAAATGAAAGAAATCCTTAATGGAAACAAACAAACTTAACCAAAAAATGCAAACAAAAAATACATTCTACAGTTCAGAAAACCTATATATCTCAGATATGGTCACAGAACAAGATGGAACAAACACTAATGTACCAAATTCTAATCATCTAAAAGAAAATGACTCAATCAATACTATAGATGATCAGAACTTAACCTTTAAGAAAAACACAACTAGTATCACCATTTCAAAACATGGTTCACCTTCAATAGAAGCTAATTACAAGAACACAAATAATGAAACATCTGCTACAAACTATAACTAAGATATAACAATGGAACCATTAGACTGTAACAAAGAAAACAAAACTGAAGAGAAAGAATTTACTTTGGTCACTTCAAAAAAGAACAACCAAAAAAGAAACAAGAAGAAAACCCTTACAACAAATAAGAAAAGTAATAAGAGTAGGACAAAGAATGCCTAAACAGGCTTCTCTTCCTACTAGTTAATCATTTCTACTTAGAACAAACTGTCATATGGCCAACATATCTCTTTATATCTTATGATTAAAATTGTCACACTGAATTTCAAGAGCCTTAACAATAGAGTTAAGGCTCAAAAAACCCTAACACTTTTAAAGTCTTATAAGTTAGATATAATATTTATCCAAGAAACAAATCTAAACGATCTTGCAACAAGAAGGTTTCTAGCACAACAATGGAATTATGACTCAATTTGGTCTTCCAAAACAGCTATTCTAATTGGAAAACCAAATATTAAACTAAAGAACTCCAAAATCTCATACAACAACAGAGTGATATCAGCAAAAGTAACCTTCAGAAATAAACTTTATATACTTACAAATGTCTATGCACCTCCCAGTTGGGATAATAGATATCAATTCTTCAACAACTAGACACTAATTAATGATAACAGTGCTATTACTATTATAATAGGGAATTTTAACACCAATCTGGATCCTCAGATTAACTGCATTAGTCAAGCACCTTTACAAAATGATTCTTCTAGAATACTGCTAAGAGAGCTTATAAAGACTACATAGACACAGCAAGGTTTTCAAAAAGCAACCCCATCTTAACCTTTTACCAAAATACTCAAAACTATCAATTAATGGCTACTCGATTAGACTACATATTTGTCAAAATTGAATCTAGCCACCTCAATTTTAAAACTATACTAAACCAGATAATTCAGACCATCTTCTAGTAGAAAGTACAATTTCAGGCAAAAATAATTCATATGGTACATCACTTTGAAGATGCAAAAAAGAACATTGGTATAACCTAGAACTGAGAGCAGAAATTATAAAAGAACTATAAGAGATAAAAGAAGTGCAAAACTGTGATCTTTACAAATACATATTACAATCAATTGTTAGAGCTTTTAAACTAAACACAGCATCAGAAAGAAAGATACAATTATTATACAAAAAACTATACAAACTAAACAACCAAAATGCCAATAATTCTTATTTAGAAGATCTTCAACTTATTGCCAAACACATGAAAACACTAATCCAAGAAGAAGTTAGATTCAGTCAAATGCTAAATGGGTAGAAGGAGAAAAGTCTACAAAATATTTCTACTCCTTCTACAAAGCTAAACACACAATCTCCTGCACAGCAGAGATAAAAATACCTAATAATACAGTTCTACAAAACCCCACCAATGTACTAGCTAACATTAGAAATAAATACTAAACAATATACAAAACAGAGAAATTTGATATAGAAGCTGCCAAAGAATTAACAAAAGACCTCTCACTTTAGTTAACCAGACACAAAACTATCAGCTAACAAAACACATCAGTAAAGAAGAAATTAGCATAATAATTGACTTCTTGCCTAACAACAAAACTTCTGAATCAGATGGATTAATTTATAAATTTTACAAGAATACAAAAAAAGAAATACTTCTATTTCTATCAACACTTTTCAACTATGTTATAGACACAGGCTGCATGCCACACTCATAGAACAAAAGTATAATTACTCTTATTCCCAAAAAGTCAGATGACTTAAAAGATATTAAAAACTGGAGACCCATCTTCTTAGTCAACAGTGATGCTAAAATCTTATGAAAATTTTAGCAAATTGTCTAAACCCAATATGCAACCAACTGATTGGGCCAGAACAACAAGCATTTATTGCAAGAGATCTATAACTGATACAACTCTTGATATCTTAACAGTTATAAGAAACCAAGTAGACCAATCCAAACAACACTGGCTATTGCTTTTTGATTAACAAAAAGCCTTTGACAGAGTTAATCATTCCTATCTACAGCTAGTTCTAAAAGAAATGAATTTTGATAATAAATTCTGACAAGTAATTTATATATTATTTGCCTTACAGCAAGCTCATATTAGAGATGCTGGTAAAACCTCAGAACCTTTTAAAGTAAAACAAGGAGTCAGACAGAATGACCTTCTCTCTCTTCTCTTATATGTTTTAGTCTTTGATCCCTTTCTTCAAGCTCTTAACAAGAGCCTGTCTGAAATTCAAATTAAAGGAAAGTCTTTCAAGATAGCAGCCTATGCAGATGATCTAACACTAGGCTTTAGCACTGCTTCAGACTGGAACAACTTTATGCTTCTAGTCCAGAAGTATAAAAAGGCATCTAATGCAAGGATCAATAAAAACAAATCGATACTAATACCTCTTACAGAAAATGCTCAAAGAATACAACTTCAAGAAATAGAAAACTTTCAAACTAAAGAACAAGATGATACAATAACCATTTTAGGCTATGAAATTAACATTAAAGGAAAGTTAGCAAAATACCTATGGTATAAGATAACAAACAAAATCAAGAAAAAGATTGATCATCTTTCTACAAGAAATCTTTCTTTTAAAGGAAAAATTCTGGTTACAAAAACCTTACTTATATCAAAGATCTGGTATCTAGCTTATCTACTACCTTCAAGCAGAAACAACTTAACAAAATAGGCTTAATTCTTGCTAAATAGATCAAAAATAAATCTAAAATGCTTCCACACTACTCAATAATTCAAACTGAGGAAAAGCTAGGAGGCCTAAAAGCTTCTATTCTAAAAGATCTACTTGATGCAAGACTATTATCAATTTGGACAAGGCTACTAACTGGAAATAGCTTCTGGTCAAATGTGGAAAGAGAACTAATCACTACCAATCTTCAAAACAAAAGAGGAATAACACCTAAAACTGCTCTAAACCAAAATAATATTAAGCTAAAAGGGTAGTCAGAAAGATAAAAACTCTGTCTAACAGCTTGAAAAAAAGTGGAAGAATTAATTACAGAGAACAACACCTGGCCCTGAACCTTAGATAATATTAAAATAATATCAATGACAGCAAGCAACTACTTAGTCAAAACTATGACTGAACTTCTTTGAAATGAAACATCTACTACAACACAGAATAGTACATTAAGCCAAAAAACCCAGTCAGATAATACATATGAATGAATGAAACTTGGAAATATTCAGAACAATAAAAAGAACATTTTTTGGAGACTAATGCATAGAGCTCTACCCTTAGGTTATCATATTACTCACTTTGCACAAAATCCTGATGATAACTGTCCAGGCTGCCTATACATTACCCAAACTATAGAACACTTTGAACAAAGCTATGAAGAATCCTCCAACCTCAGTAAAAAAAATAATTAATGCAAATAACATCAAAAATGCCAAAAAAATGCAAAGCAGTACTGTGGATTCATATTCATGCAATTTACAAAATTTGGCATTGGTTTACTTAAGCAAAAAATGGGACAATAACCTAATATCAAACAATATAATTAGCAATATAACAAATAGTAGACTTAGAAAAGAAATTAAAGTACTTAACACTTTACAATGAAGAAAATCCAAAAAGAGATCTGCTTTGAAAAAAGAAATTTTAGACTTTATTAATCTAAATAATAGCTATATGTAATTTACAATTATCTTCTAATAAATGAATAAATAAATACACTTAATTGTGGTTTTTTATAAAAAAAATTCAGAATTATTTTAGTTTATAGGGCTTGCATACCAACTTCATACAAACTGACAGTCAAATTCATACAAACTAATAGTCAAATTTGTACAAACTGACAGTCAAATTTGTACAAACTAACAGTCAAATTTGTACAAACTGACAGTCAAATTTGTATATAACACTTTTAATTAAATCAAAATATTTTATAACCTAGTAACTTAAATTATGTAAATTTGGTATCATTTGATTCATCAAATTAGATGAATTAAATGATACCAAATTTATATAATTTAAGTTACTAGGTCATGAGATATTTTGATTTAATTAAAAGTGTTATATATGAATTTGACTATTAATTTGTACAAATTTGACTGTTAGTGTATATGAATTTGACTGTCAGTTTGTATGAATTTGACTATCAGTTTGTACAGAGTTAGTATGCAAAACCTGTATTTATTATGTAATAATATCCAACTAAAACATTAGTACAAAACACTGTAATATGATAGCTCTAACAAGTCTATACAACAAATATTCAATCTATTATTCTAGAAAATTTCAATGCTCCTAATAGTACCATCCACTTCTTATTAATTAAATATAAGTTGCTTCATTTTCTTTAATACAACAATATGTATAACCTGGCTACATATACTCATACCTCAATATCTACTTGATGAAACAACAGATATCAAAGTAGCATAGATTACATCTGGACTAACCAACTCTTTCTTTGATATCTTAATTCTTTTATTATAAATAATCCTAATACTAGTACCTAAAGTGATTATAAAATTCTAAACTCTTGCTAGTCTTTTCCTTATACATATATAGACAAGTCCAAATATTTTATTAAAACTTATAGAAGAACATTCTTATACAAAAATATAAATAAAGACAAATGGCAACAATTTGCAAACCAAGTAACCTTAAATCTTAATAATAACAAAAAACTACTCATTATACAAACCTCAGAATTACTAGAATTTTCCTAATACAAAATCCAAAACAATGTTGTCTTTGCTGTTATACAACACATCTTAAATAAAAAATTTACAGTTAGAAACTTTCAAAATATCTTTTCTGCAAAGACTTCATCTTTATATTAACATCTTAAAAAATTAGACAATATCCTTAAACAAGTCAAATACTCACTAAAAAACTCTACCTTTATTTTTTTATTTTTTTATTTTTTTTTAGTTAAAGTCCCTATCTTGGGAGTAGTGATGTTTTTTTTTTTAACGCGAATTGGCGTGCTTTTATTAGGTTATACTAGAAATACATTATATTATTTACATATATAAAG